TTTATGCAATCTATATGGCATTTTAGGGTATTTTGTTTCTTTTCTTTTTTAATTTTAAAAAAGAGAATTTAGTTTTCAACCTGATTATGTCAACAAAGATGTTTGTTTTCACAGATGTTTCACTTATTCAAACTCTCAATCAAAATCTCTATCAATTAGAAAAGTAATATTTTGTTGTTAGTTACAGTTTAAGTAGTTGCAAGGGATATTTTATAGTGTTTACGTTGATAGTGAAATGCCCAGTACTTACTGGCACAAATGATTTTTGTTTTTTCTCTATTATTCTTACAAGAAGCAAAAGAAGAAAACGAATTTGTGGCTTAACTAACATAATTCCTTTGGGTTATTATGATTATTCATTAAAAACTAAGATGAGTGGGTGTCATTTGCATCAATCTAATTCATTTTGGGGGATGTTGGGGCCCTTTAATCTCTGTCTTGGAAGAATAAACTCAACATATTTGTGTGTTTACTATATTGGAAACTGGTATTTTCATGGCCTCTTCACATCATCAGACTTATAAGGAGACTTACTTCCGTGAGAGTTTTCTTGTTTAGAGTAGGTTGACGAAGGTATTAGCATTTCTTTCTCTCATTCAACTGCAATAAGAAAGAAGTTAAGAAAGAGTGACCTTATATAGTTTAAGAGCTGGCCAGAGTGGGAGGGGTTTAGAAGGAGGGTAACAAAAAGTTTGGAGATCTAAGGAAAGTTTATGAAGGGTTTGAATAAAAAAGGAATGAACAACTGTTTGGGATGCTGTGTAAGATATTATTCAGAGAAGAGAAAATGTTGAAGGAAAAAAGTTGAGTTTTACTGCGTATTATATTACTGCTTTCCAAACCTTAATGTGCCTAGGAATCATCTGGCTGTCATGTTAAAATGCATATTCTAATTCAGTAGGTCTGCAATAGGCTCAAGAATCTGGATTTCTATAGGCTTCCAAGTGATGTCTGAGCTGCCCAAGGACTCCGTTGTGCCTAGCAAGACACTAAATACTACTCTCTTTTTGCATTCTATTCAAGGAATTTCAGTCAAGACATTTCAAACATTTGATTTGTATTTGATTTTGAATGCCCTTATATTACTGTGTAAAGATTGATTTTAAAATTAGAGAAAAAAATGCCCAGTGTAGTTCAGCCTCACAAAAAAAAGATGTAGGTCTTGCTAGCTCTGAAGATCAGCTTTCCCTCTCATTAACTGATTAATCCAGGGTAAATGTGGACCAAAGCATGTCAACCTGTTTGCATCAAATTTCAAGAAAATGAGATGTAAGATTTTACAAAAAATAACTGTGCTTTTTCTAGTATTGCAATATATTTGAAGGCAATCAGATCAGCCCCTAGCAGTAGTCAAATTATAAAAAGCAACAATGGGTGTGGGGCTTTTTCACCTAAAAATAAAAGGCCGTAGTGAGAGGCAGCAAGTTTATATTTAAGATCTGAGATGATAGCTATTTAGGAAGCACTGATTCAGGCAGAAACCCAAATAGTGTTTGGATTAGGAGGTGAAGGCAAGGGGTATTTATGAGAAAGGAAGAGGGGTAATTACATGATTAGAAAGAAGAAATTTCTATAGGTGCAGATAGGCTAACATATTGATGCTAATTCTAAAGAATGTCTTCAATTTTCAGTCCTATAGTCATGTCTGCTTTCCTGTCAGCTTTGTAAACAGTTGTTTGGGACACAGTGCTGCTTTAGCTTAGTTCAAAGTTTGTTTTGCCCAGCTTTAACATTCCACAGGTTTGAAGGGTAAGACCTGCAAGGCAGTTCCTCAGATTCCATTTTGAAGTGCCTCCATTTATATTGTTTTTCACAAGTCAGAGGGTCCTAACCATAATACAAGTAGACATTATCATCTTTGCTGTGCTTAAAAGTACTTTCCTTTGCCTTGAAAATGTAATAAAATGTTATTGGTTTTTTAACACATTCCTATTGACATCAAGAATGTTCTCTAATTGTTAAGCTTATTCAGATATTAAGGAGATTATCAAGAAAGCACAGTAGAGGTTAGACTGGGCAGGACAGGTCAGTAACTATGAGTAATGAAGTAAAAAATGTTATTGGTTTTTTAACACATTCCTATTGACATCAAGAATATTCTCTAATTGTTAAGCTTATTCAGATATTAAGGAGATTATCAAGAAAGCACAGTAGAGGTTAGACTGGGCAGGACAGGTCAGTAACTATGAGTAATGAAGCCAAGAGTCCCTGGTTCAGTGGTGTAAGAAAATATGAAAGAGCTTCTGGAACCTGGATTCCCCTAGAAGCCTGGAGAAAGAAAAGGAAGTAGAAGTTCTAAAAACATTCCGAAGTTTTCTGTTCAAATTATTTCCCCTTGATGAGTGTTTCTTCACTCAAAACTTATGTTAGAATCATCTAGGGAGTTAAAAAAAAAAAGTTTACACCTGTATTCCATCCAGACCAATTAATTCAGAGGCTCCAAGTGGAGCCTGATATCCAAAGGTTGATGCCGCAGCTCCCTGGTGATGACAGAAAACAGGAGTCCAGAACCATTGTTTTAGTCCACATACTACATTCTTTTCTGGACTTCTTTCAGTTTGTATATGTATTCCTCTTCTTTAAATTAACATTTATATATACTATACCATATGTCAATAGAGCTCAATATAACAAAATAATAATAACTAACTGTTATATGGTGCTTACTATTTGCCAGTGTTCTGAGTGTTTCATATGCACTAAAGCAATCCTAGATAATATGTACTGTTATCTTCTTTACATATGAGAAAACTGGGGCACAGAAATGTTCATTTGCCCAACTCACAAAACTGGCAAGTGGTCCTTTTGGGATTCAAATACAGACTTTCTGGCCACACAGCCCATATTCTGCTAAACTACCAATCAATTGTCAATGGATCCATGTACTCGACAAATATTTCTGGAGCAGCTTCTATGTACAAGGTTGTAAGAATAGAGCGATAAGCACAACAAAATGTCTGAGTTTATGAAAATTACTTTCTCATGGGAGAAAGAACAATCAGAATTTTTAATAATACCTTAGAATTCACAGCAAGTTGATATAGGATTCAAATATGGCCTTTCCATTTGCATTCTGAATGATCTTAGCCAATCTCCTTACTTCTTTAGTAATCTAAAGAAATAATGTGAAGAGATATCTAAATGAGTTATTTTTATTACTTTATATTATCACCAACAATAATGAAAGAAATGTTGTGTGTATGTGTGGCTTAAATAACATTTTAATTTAAAAAACAGATTTTTTCCCATGGCATTATACACTAAGGGCATTGTGAAAGCATGAGATTTCAGGAAGGCACTGGAGGCAATGTTAGTGGTGTTGGCATTGGCATTGGTTTTGGTAGTGGTGATGATTGTCGTAATGGTGGTGATGGTTGAGATGAGATGATGAAATTAATGGTAACAATTACCATTCATTAAGCATTAACTATGGCTCAGGCATTGCTCTAAATTCTTTATATTTATTATTTTGTTTAATCTATTTCAGAGTTCTATGAGGTAGTATAAATTATTGCCCATATGTAGAGCTAGAGAATTAGAAAGCTTAAACAACTTTCCCAAGTCACGTAACTGAACACGTAATGGAGCCTAGATTTGATCTAAGATACGTCCTT